CTAGTTGTGTTTCCTCCCCCTTCTTTTTTGAGGGGCACAGTGACTAGTACCTCAATTTCATTTAACAGATTATCTTTTACAAAGGAATATTTACATCAAAGATACAAGAAGAAGAAATGTACAGACATCTCCTCCAACACCACGGGGCATAATCCCCTCTATATCACCTATGTCCCCCAGGTGGGGAGTGGATTAGGCTCAGTTTAGCTTATTTCCTATATAACATTAATCCTACCAAGTTAACATCCACAACTGGCATGGGTATTGGCTTATGCTGGGCTTGAGTCCATATCCCTGGATCTTCAGGACTTTTGTGCTGGGTAGGCTACAACACCAACCTGGATTCCTGGACTTCTGAATCCCCATGGTTTGTGCTCCCCAGAATGTATTGGTCCCTTCTCAGTGAAGATCTTCAAGAAGAGTCTGGATGACCCACTTGTCTGTGTTGTAGTGGGGATTCATTCCTTTTTGGGTCCTGGCTAGAGTAGATGACTACCAAGATCTCTTCTAATTCTAAAATTCTTTGAATCTGTGTAGAACTCAATGTTGTTACTTAGTTGTTTCATGATTCTTCATGCCCCCCCCCCATTTGGGGTTTTCTTGGCAATTTGCCAATTCCTACTCCAGCTCATTTTTATTTATTTATTTATTTTTTGGGTGAGGCAGTTGTGGTTAAGTGACTTGCCCAGGGTCACACAACTTGTAAGTGTCAAGTGTCTGGTCTGAGACTGGATTTGAACTCAGGTCCTCCTGACTCCTGGGCCAGTGCTCTATCCACTGCACCACCTAGCTGCCCCCTCCAGCTCATTTTTACAGATGAGGAAACTGAGGGAAAGAGGATTAAGTGACTTGCCCAAGGTCACACAACTAGTAAGTGTCCGAGGCCAGATTTGAACTCAGGAAGATGCCTCTTCCTGACTCCAGGCCTACTACTCAATCCACCGTGCCACCTAGCTGCTGAAGAACTCAATAACACTCTCTAAATTAAATCAACAATACTCAGTGACTTCAGTACAGAAATGGGCACAGGGAGGATGGTGAAAAATATGTTGGGATATATGGCAAAAGATTGAGAAACAAAAGAAGCCAAAAACTTGCAGACTAAATAGAAGCTTCATGCCTAGACAGCATTAATGCTTTCTTCAAGGAGAGATTTAGGAGGTACTGGGTATGGCAAGCTCTACAGAATTTGTAGAAATTGACTATATTTTAATAGATAAGAAATAACTAGTTATTATGGAGGTCGTTTCTGAATGAGCTGTGTATAGTCAGACCATTGAGTAGTTAAAGTGAGTATAAAAATGGATACCCTGTTAGCAGAAAGAAAATAAGATAATGCATGCAGTTAAAACACTTCTAGTGTAAGTTATTTAAACAAACTATTGATGGCCCCCGAAGGGGAAATGGATAAAGGAGCAGACACCAACATTGATCATTAACTATCACTTCCTATGGAAGTTTAACGAATGAAAATCAGTTGCTATAATGCTGAGGCCGAGAGAACCTAGAGACCACTTCAGCCAGTAGCACTTGTTCTCCTTGCCAGACAGTTAGGGCAGCCAAGGGCAACACTGGTTTAGTGTGTAAACTCATTTATAAAATCTTACTGAGGCATATTGTAGGGGATTATATTGCCTCCAAAAACAATGAGAAGTAAAAGGAAAAGCAAGTTTACAGAAAGTTTTGTGAGGGATCCAATTAAGCCAGATCACCCTAAGGGTGGAGAAGGATAAAACTGGAAGAGGCACAACAAATAGATGGGAAATGGAAAACAGCTGTCAACATTTCCATAACAAACTCTGTTAATGACAGTGGAATGGCCACATTTAGACTCTTATATCACAGTCCCCAATGTGTGGCATGAAGATGCAAAAATGACATTAAAAAAAAAAGATGATGAGAGCAATTGGACTAGACCAAAATAATAGATATAGACGGTCCATGTTGTAGGCAACACGATTTTAAGGGAGTTGGGATTCTCAAGATATCTGAAATAGGGGAGGCTGCCAGACACTTAGGGGGGAATATTACAGATGCTTTTATTCCCCAAAAAGCAATTGAAAAGTATCAGTAACAACTGATCCATATGCTTACTTTCTCATCTCTACAAAATCTTTTTGAGAACAATCTATATACATATCAAAGGCCTCTGATGAAAATTTGAAAAGGGAACAGGAAGGCTTTCAGAAATCAGATTCTACAGCAGACCAATTCTTTTCAGTAACAATTGACTGAAAGGTTCAGAAAATAGAAGATCCCATTATGCTTGTCTGGGTAAATTGTTTGTCAACTGTAAAAGAAAGAATTTGATTCAGTAGAGCAAAATGCTCTCCACCAACCAGGCATTTCCTACTTTCACCCTAAAATCTTTAAAAGACAAGTAAACAAAAATAACTTTGGCCCTAAGATCATTGTCATTATCAATCAAGGAATAAAATAGGGCAATGTATGCTTACCATTGATGTTTGCCCTTGTAATGGAGAATGCCCAGCATAAAGTCCAAATGGAAAAATACTTGTGTTCAAAAGATGGGGAGTATTTTGGGTTTTGTTTGGTAAGTTTGGGATCAATTAAAACCCAAGTTATGGGTCCAATTCCTTAATCATCTTCATTGTCTATCTGTGATGTGTGTGTGTGTGTGTGTGTGTGTGTGTGTGTGTGTATACACACTCACATTTAGGTATATGCACATATATGTATCAAACAGAAAAAATTGAATCTCTCTTGCATATAATTATACACATATACATACACACACAAACACTAATGGACCAGCTGTCCAATCAACTTCATATCTTAGTTTGGACAATAGGTGTTTTTTACACATTTGATCTTTTCTTCTTGAATAGTTAAGCTAATTTCTTATGAGTGATTTTGGATCTCATTTAGGAGCATCTAGAGAACTTCGTTATCTATGGAGAATCCTTCCATTTGGACTCCATAACAATGGCTCATACCTTTGGTGAGCATATGTCTCTCTGGTTTTATATTTTGCTTGATGTTAATAAATGAAGAGTCAAACAAAATTATCTTTGTTGCTGCATCTTTCAAATATTCTAATATTTTAACATATGAATGGGAAACACCTTGGAGGAGACTTTTTAAGGTGGCATTTCACTCTATTGAATCAAGTTCTTTATAGTCATTAAAGAGTAAGCGCAGTGGGATCTTCTGTTTCCTGTATCTTTTGGTTAATTGTGTGACTGTGGTCCCCCGTAGTATAACACCGATGAAAATTTTTCTTTCCCCTTCTCAGACCTTCATCAAGAAAGCCCTTTATTTGAACTCAGGTCCTCGTGACTCCAGGGCTGGTACGACATTTCTCTCTCTCTCTCTCTGTGTGTGTCTCTCTCTCTTTCTGTCTGTGTCTGTCTGTCTGTCTCTCTCTTTGTGAGGCAATTGGGGTTAAGTGACTTGCCCACAGTCACACAGCTAGTGAGTGTTACGTGTCTGAGGCTGTATTTGAACTCAGGTCCTCCTGACTCCAGGCCACCTAGCTGCCTCACATGTGGGAAAAAGACCCACATGTACAAAAGTATTTAAAGCAGCTCTTTCTGTGGTGGCAAAGAATTGGAAATTGAGGGGATGCCCATTAATTGGGGAATGGCTGAACAAGTTATGGTATATGAATGTTACGGAATAAAGACTTGTATGGACTGATGCTGAGTGAAATGAGCAGAACCAGGAGGATGTTGTGCAAAGTAACAGCCATGTTGTGTGATGGCTAACTTTGATAGACTTAGCTCTTCTCAGCAATGCAAGGATCTAAGATATCCCCAAAAGTCTCATGATAGAAAATGCTATCCACATCTAGAGAAAAAATTTGCTCTTTTTTTTTCTTCTGTTTTGTTTTGTTTCTTCTTTCTTGTGGTTCCTCCTATTGGTTCTAATTATTCTTTATAACATGGCTAATATGAAAATATGTTTAATGGGAAAAAAGAAAGCCCTTTATTTTTATAAAGATTTTGTAGAAATGGGGAAGTAGGCATAGTGGTAGTTGCTGACATTTTCTTGATAACCTTTTTTTGTGAACAATTTTTATTGAAGATTTTCATCATCTTTGAAAACAAAACACTGATGTACAATGACTGTCAGTGGGGTTTCCCCTTAGTTTATCACAAAGGCACAGTCCTTTCTCCTTTTGATCTAGATTTTCCTTTTCCTATTTGTACATAATTTCAAATGAGCCTAGCCTTGTAATTTATACAGCATGTTCTTCTACTTGTGAGATTCCAATTTTGTTGTCACTTAGAAATAGTGATTACTTTTACCTATTGTAGTATGAGTTTGCAGTGAGGCTTTGAGGCCAGAATTATAACTCACATGTTTTAGAATTTGTACAGAGTATGCATTTAATGGACAGAAGTAAATACATGAGGGGCAGCTAGGTGGCGCAGTGGATAAACACAGGCCCCGGGAGTCAGGAGGACCTGAGTGCAAATCTGGTCTCAGACCAGACCCTTGACACTAGCTGTGTGACCCTGGGCAAGTCACTTAATCCCATTGCCTAGGCCTCCCCCCCAAAAAAGAATTAAATACACAACATCAATTCCTGAAAATTTGGGATATTTCCCTCCTCCCCCAAAATTTCCCTGAGATACTATAATATTTTCCACTAATAGTTAAGGGGATGATGGGACTAGAGTATATATGACGAACTCTGCTAGTGTGGTAAAGGAGAAACTAGCCTACTTGAATATTAATGAAAAGTATGTCTTTGAGTCGAGAGCCAAAAAAAGATATCAGTAGAACAACTAAAACATAAAAGGGCTTATTTTAAATATAGCCATAACTTAAATACAAATCAAAATAAAGCCCACAGAGATTTATAAGTCTGAGGTTAGCATCTAATTGCCATACCACCATATCTCTACTCTGCAGCTTCCTCTGTGTATACAGCTACTTAATTTCCACAAAAAAATTTAATTTTTAAAATTTAAATTTAAGCCTGATTCTTGCTATGTTCGGACTTTCATCTAAGATGTTACCAAGATCATGATTAGAAATGATCTTTGGGAGTTAGCACATTTCTATCTAGTAGCAAAACACTGATACTGATCAATTCAAGGACATTAAATTAGTGTTATTGAGAATAAGGACTCAAATCTTTGAGTGTTTAAGAGAAATTGCAGTGAAGACTAGATTCTTTGTCCTTCCTTTCTTTGACTGGACTTAAGTAGAAAAGATTCATCATCTAGTTTGTGCTCAGGCGCTGCCTGGCTCACAGTTCATACAGAAAACCCATTTCTTGGATTAAGAAACTTCATCGTGAGACTTGAGATATAATGGTTTGGAAAATTTTCTTAGCTTCTCCTAGGCTTGAAGTTCACAACTCTGTAGGGAAGTGAGGGCCATTGGAGGCAGGTGAATTGGCCTTGGATATGGGATCTGATAATGCAATCCTATTTCAATTCTTGCTGCACATTCATCTATGCATTGTTTAGTTAGTTCTGAATCCGTAAGATTTTTGTTTTTCTGGAACAACATTCTGGCTTCGTTTATAATATACTGCTTGCTTTTCTCTGATGGTGTCTTCCATCTCCCCGATGCTGCATGCCACCTCCTTGCAGGCCTGAAAGCCTGCGGTCCAGGTTGAGAACTTCTTGTCATGTTGCTATTGTCATCTCTTACGCTCACACTGTGTCCATCACGCCTGCCCCGCCACCCACCCACAGTGCAGAGGAGAGGAGGGAGTGTCGGAAGTCCTGTGGAGCCCATGGAGACAGACCGGGGTCTGGCCCTGTACTTGATAGCCTTTTTAAAAAAATAGTAATAATACATATGCTTCATTAGTTAATGATTAGGATTAGTTAATGTTAGGAAGGCTCTGAGTACCCTGTTTGGATACCCTGTAGATGATTTATGGGAAAACATAGACAAGTGTTCCACAAGATTAGAAGGCATGAATGAATTGCAATCTATACCATTGGTAGGAATACCCACATTGATGATATCATAGGTCCATAGAAGAGGAACAAAATTTCATCGTTCATTTCAGCCACTGTGCTAACCTGTCAAGATCTTTCTGGATCCTGGCTCTCATCTAACATGTTAACTGAGCCTTCCAGGTTTGTATCATTTGCAGATTTCATGTGCATGCCATCTATGCTTCCATCTAAATCATTGATAAAAATGTTAAACAGCACAGGGTTAAATAGAAATCCCTAGGCATTCAACTAGAGACTGTCATCTAAGTTGATACTGACCCACTAATGACTTCTCTTTGGATTTTGTCATTCATCTAACTCCATATTCATGTAACTATACTAACATCTAATGCACATCTCTCCATCTTGTCTTAAAAGACAGCTTGAGAGATTTTGACTTACACTTTGCTGAAACTTGGATATTTTATGTCTATGAGATTTTCCTGATCTTCCAGACTAGGAACCCTGTCAAAAAGGGAAATGAAGTTAGACTGGCTTTTGGCCTATTACTGATGAAGCTATGCCAGCTCCTACTGATGAGTGTTTCCCTTTCTAAATTTCCAAAAAGGGAATTACGTTTTAGAATTTCATCATGAATTAAAGTCAAGTGTCTCAGTTTTTACAGATTTTGCCCTCTTAAGAAATTAGAATATTTGTACTCCTGCAGTCCTATAGCATTTACACAAGTTTTAAATGTTCACTGACAGTGGCTCAGCAATTAGGTCTACCAGTTCTTGACTTGAATTCATTCTCTTAAAATTTCTCATTCATTTTGGGTTTCAACTCCCTGTTACCCCACTTTTTACGTAGAGAAAACAGATGCAAAATAACTGAGTAGTTGTGCTTTCTATCTTATCATTACCTCTTATCATTGTCCCACTTACTGTGAACAGTGAATTCATCCTTCCTTTGAGCTTCCTCTTGAACTTTGTTGTCTTTAGCATTCACCTTCTGAGTTTGGTAATTCTAGACAACATTCTTAGAGGACCAGACCTCTTTTGTGTTTCTTTTCCATTACCTGTCCTTGCCTTCCCAGCCCTTAGCAGAGTGCTTGGCATATAATTGGCACTTTAAAAATGCTGACTGATTGATTTCTATCTTCTGTGCATGTCTTTGAAATAGTGTTATTATAATTTAAAAACTGAACCAAAACAAAAAAATAAAAGGAGTAAAATCTTAAATAAAATCCTTAAACTTTGTGGTCATTTATGTCCAATTCTTCATGACTCCATTTGGACTCCATTTTCTTGGCCAAAATATTGGAGTGGTTTGCCATTTCCTTCTCCAGCTCATTTGATAGATGAAGAAACTGAGGCAAGCAAGGTTAAGTGACTTGCCCAGGGTCACAATGCTAGGTCAGATTTGAATTCCGGTCTTCCTGATTCCAGGCCTGGTGCTCTTATCTACTGCACCACCTAGCCTAACAATGTGGAAACCAATGAACAAATAGCAAGCAAAGAATGTTTTTATTCGGCATCCTCTTCCATGAATATCTGAAGTTCTGTTGCCTCTGACTCTCTTTTTTCTTTGTTTCTCTCTCTCTGTCTCTCTCTCTCTCTCCTTCCCTATTTTCTTCCTTCTACTCATTAGCTCATCAGGATATGGTAGCTCTTATGGTCTTAGACATTCAAGAAGTCTGAGAGGCCTAGACACTTTGTGGCTGGGATTATAATGTCCCTAGATAACCAGAAAGCTGCATCAAGGAAACCAGGGAACCAGTCAGATCTGAGGGACCTAGCCTGTGTTGGCTGGGTAAATGGGGTATGGGAGTGGTCGGGTGGGGAGGAGGGGGAGAAAGCTGTGTCTGGAAGTCTGGGGCCAGTCAGGTTCCAGGGGAAGCTTTGGTTTTTTTTTTTGTTTGTTTGTTTGTTTTGTTTTTTAGGTAAAGCCTCCTCATATTGTGGATAGGAGGAAAGAAGATATGTCTGGGAAACCCTGGTCCTATCACATACCACCCATTGGTGGCAAGGTCCTAATGATCTTCTAAAGGACTTTCCAAGATTTAAATGCTTATAGGGCTTTTATTGGACAGTCTTCCTTGCAAAAGCAGTACTAAAATGTGGGGTGGGGGGATATAAAGGGGAGAGACAAAAAACCCCAAAATGTGGAGGGGAACAAAAACCAGAAATCCTAGGTCTTTCCTATCTCTTTCAGAAAGAACAAATCTCAAGTGTCACATTCTGGTCCATGTGATGCCAAATATTTTCAGTTCGTGATGGGTCTTCTAATTCAAGCTGTTCACAAGTGAACCAGAAAAGCACTAGGAAAATCAGAGTCATAGCGTAGATGATAACAACTCCAGAACAGTCAAAGAATGCTGCTCTTGATGTGAGGTGGTATCATATGGAATTTTAGTCCATGAAGTCTTACCTGTCCTTTCTCTGAACCTTTTAAAATCTGCTCTCTCATAATCTAGAGTTAGTGTTAGGCTGTTCCCAACATTCTTCTCCTCTATCACAAATACTGCGTGGTCATTTTCTTTCAGAGTTCTGATCATTAAATGATCTTTAAAACAAGTCAATCATTTACAAGCTTCTCAGTTTTGGTCAGAGAGAGAAAGATACTGTAGAAAAAACACTGACCTGGGTTCAAATCCTGCCTCTGATATTTACTTCCTGTGTAACCCTGGGCATGTCACTTAACCTTGTTGAGCCTCCTTTTTCTGATCTTTAAAACAAAAGGAATGGAATAGATGACTTGTAAGGTCCTTGCTTTTTTTTCTTTTTTTTTTTTTTTGGTAAGGTCCTTTCTAGCTCCAAATCTGTGATCCTATGAAGCTTTCCCAATAGTTGAAGTCACCCATTGCTACTAGGAGGTGAATGCTGGATAAATCTACATTATAATTTTGGACAAATAGCATTGCTACTGGATTTTGTGGCTCAGAAGTGAGTGTTTGGTTGTAATGGATTAATGATATCACTGATAAATACATTTGGTGGGGAGTGAGGTGGGATAGTAGTCCCCTGAGAATCTCCCAAAATTCGGTCTTTCTGGTTAACTCCCAGAGTAATCAACAACCCTAGGTTCAAGTTATTATGTGGGTCTGGACAAAAATCCTAGCACACAGGCCCCCAGTGGTGCATTTATCTTTAATAATCAGCCAGTTACATAATTAACTCAAAGTAAAGGCATTTACTAACATGGAACTAGGAACTAGTTATTAACTAACTAGCATTATTAGGAACATTTTCTAATTAGGAACAAGAGAAACACAACTTTCCCTCCTTAAACCTGGGGCCCATTCTTCCACCACTACAAACAGCATCAGGAGGAAGAATGTGCATAGTGTATACTAGTAGAGAAGAACATGTAGGGAACACACATGCCGAAGGTAATTCACACCTCCAGTCCTGCAGAGCCCCAGGGATCTTTTTCTTCTTGTGGTGTCCTTATGTTGCTGCCCCGGAAGACATGGCATAGCATCTCTTGGGGCAGGTTGGTAGCCAGGGCTAACTCTCTGAAGATTCACAAAACTTCTCCTGCCTTGTGCCTTGATTGACTGAGCCTACTGCTAGTTCAGTGCAGTATCTCCTACTGGGTAGATAGCTCCACTGAAGATGCTGTAGGTGATTGGGGAAAAAGGGAGGAGAGGAAACCTCTGCTGCCCTGGGGTAAACACCCAAGACAAAAGGCAAAGAAGGATTCCCTTTTAAGAACTGGGTTCTTTGGGGAGGGAGGGGAAGAAAAATTTAAAACTCAAAAGCTTATGGAAGTGATTGTGGATAATTCAAAATAAATTAATTAAAAAAAAACCAACAGGGTTTTTCCTCCAAAGCTGACTCTCTTCCTTCCTGACAGAAATGGCATTTCTCAGAACTATCTCCTGCTTCAACTGAAGAGCTAGACAGATATCTTGATATTTAAATATCAGCAGGGGTGTGGCCCATCCTTTGGCTAGCCATTGGCTAGGCATTCTTTAATTCCATCAAGCTGGGACTGAAGTACTTCTCCACATCTTGTAAAGGGGTAATAGGAGGGGGCAGCTAGGTGGCACAGTGGATAGAGCACCGGCCCTGGATTCAGGTGGACCTGAGTTCAAATCCAGCATCAGACACATAACATTTACTAGCTGTGTGACTCTGGGCAAGTCACTTAACCCCACTGCCTAGCCAAAAAAAAAAAAAAAAAAAAAGGGGGTAATAGGGTGCAGGGGTGGGGAACCTGCAGCCTCGAGGCCACAGGTGGCCCTTTAGGTCCTTTGACTGAATCCAAACTTCACAGAACAAATCCCCTTAATAAAAGGAAGGATTTGTTCTGTGAAGTTTAGATTCAGTCAAAAGGCTGCACTCGAGGACATAGCGGGCCACATGTGGCCTTGAGGCTGAAAGTGTCCCACATAGACACTTCATTTAATACTTTCACACCTTGCTGCCTCTTACCTTCTCTAATTTCATCACCTGAGCTGGGGGCGGGGGTGGGGGGTGGGGGGAATCAACTCACCAGTGTTGTCCTAGTCAACTTTCCCCATCAAACTGTTTTACATTGTTCTATAATTGTTTTGTTGCTAATTGTTTCATGTGTCTGAGCTTTGTCTCCCCTAAAAGACCATCAGTTTCTGGAATGAAGGAATCAATACTTCTTTTGTATCCTTGATTCTGCTTAGCCAGTGTTGAGCACATTAGTTGACACTAATCATGCCTTAGATAAAACTAGCTGTGCTGTTATGGGCAAGTCACTAAACCTCTCAGATCCAGTTCTCCCATATGTAAATTGGGGCTAATGTCATAGACTGAGAGTTTGTCTTTGCCTTAATGAGCATCCTCCAGTATGGTTGGATTCAGGTGCCCATAGACAGGAGATAAATCTCCTGGATGTGGAATTTTCTGGGAGAGGAGCCATGACTAGACACGGGAATTGTAGTAGTCAGTGACGACTTGGAAGAGGATATGATAGTCATAGGAGAGAGAGAGAGAAGGTAAAGGAAAAGAGATGAACAGGAAAAGTCAAATTTGAAGACAGAAAGCAGAAAAGAGAGGCTGCCACAATGAAGAGGGCAAGTGGATGATAGTGGCAAAATGTTGAAGACACAGGTGGAGGGGAGAAAGAAGTTGGATACAGTGCAATAATTCACAATACAAGCTCCAAATGGTACATAATTTAGACATAAAGAATGACATTATAAACAAAGCAGAAGAGTTTATAAGCAATTATCTATCAGATCTAAGGAAAGGAGAAGATATGACCAAAGGAGACAGAGGGGTCCATAGGAGGTAAAATGGACAATTTTTATTATATAAAATTTAAAAGTTTATGTGCAAGTAAAACCAATTCAGCTAAAATTAGAAAAGAAGCAGGAAGTTTTGTGGGAGGGGGGTGATCTTTGCAGCAAGTTTCTCTGGTAAAGTTTGCATTTCTAAGCTACATAGGGAAAGGATTCAAATTTATAAGAATAAGAACCATTTCCCAATTGATAAATAGTCAAGGGATATGAAAGGACAGTTTTCAGAGGAAGAAATTCAAGCTATCAATAGCCATATGAAAAAATGCTCTAAATCACTAATAGGGAAATGCAAATTAAAAAAAAAACTTTGAGGTACTACTTCATGCCCATCAAATTGTCAAAGAGGACAAAAAATGAAAATAAATCTCGGAGGAGTTGTGAGTAAATAGGTACATTAATGCACTGTTGGTGGAACTGTTCAGCCATTTTAGAAAGCAATTTGGAACTATGCCCTAAAAGCTATTTAACTGTGCATGCCATTTCACTCAGCAATACTACTACTAGGTCTATACCCCCAAAAAGATCAAAGAAAGAGGAAAAGAATCCTTATGGACAAAACTGTAGTAGCTCTTTTTGTGGTGGCAAAGAATTGGAAACTGAGGGAGGGGTACCTATCATTAATTGAGGGAATGACTGAACTAGTTGTAATATTTGGATGTGCTATAAAAAAATGATGAAGGAGATAGTTTCAGAGAAACCTGAGAAGACTTGTATGAACTGATCTAAAAATGAAGTGAGCAGAATCAGGAGAATAATTTATGTGACAGCAATAGTGTAAAGAAAAAAAATTTTGAAGCAGGAATTCTATCAACACAATGACTAATCACAATTCCAGAGGACTCATGATTAAACATGCTACCCACCTCCAAATAGAAAGCTG